AGAGTTATGCTGGTACACACAAACACACACACACACACACACACACAAACTCACAAAATAATAATAACAACAATAACAACAGCAATAAAAATAATAAAAATAACAACAACAGCAATCATAACAATAACAATAGCAATAACAATAACAACAATATTTACATATTATTAGGTATAATACGGTACTTGGTTGATACCTAGGATGCTGGCAGCATACCCTATCAACCATTAGCACCGGTCACTGGTATTTGTAATGTATTTTTGAATGTTCAGTTGGCTGAGTTTCATGTTTAATGAATAAAGTATATAATAACAATAACAACAACAACAATAATAATGTAATTGTTCCTGTCTTCCAGTTGCTCAAGGCATCAAGTTCTCCCTTCTGTTTTTATCTCAATAGCTCTCTAGGTTAGCTTTTGCTGAGAGACAATGATACACTACAGCAGCAGACCACAAACCCTTGTCCATGGACTGGCATCGGGCCGCAGCATGCAAAAACCAGGCCACACAAAGAAGGAAAGACCCACCCACAGGATGCAGGCAGCATGCAAAAACACGCCCCTTTTGGTCCGTGGAAAAAAGCTCTCTCCACGGAACCGGTCTCTGATGCCCAAAAGGTTGGGGGCCACTGCCCTAGGGGTCAGAGAGCTCATAGGGCCCAGGACGGACATGCACAGATATGCTCATACTTCAGCATCTACATTACGGTACTCTATATAGCAGCAAATTTATACTGTAAATCATTTAAAACTCAATACGAATTCTTTAAGTACTTGTTAGGAACACATTTAAATAATCTGAAAATAGTTCTCACCTTCTTTGGAAACAGAAGGCTCTTCCACGAGTGGTGGAGCCTACAGAAAAGAAATAAATTATTTTGTAAAATGCAATGTGCTGTAAATACAAAAATACAAAAAAAAGAAAAGAAAAAATTAATATAGCTTATAATCTAAAATCCGAAGATTAAAACTCCATATAGCAAAGAGAAAAAAGTTAGGGAGATAAATATACAGGAAAATATAATCAATTTACTTATATGTAGTTGGGTTTAATCCCAGAGGAACTAAGTGCTTCTGTTAAAGACTTTGCAAATCATTTCAGGATGGACCTGAAAAATGGCCTTATAAAAATGACCTGGTGACAGGGAACCTTTGTCCCTCTGGGGTTTAAATTCTCATGCTGTTGTTGTAGCTTGTTTCTTTAAATAGTCGTCTTTGAATGATATTAAAATCTGCTTCCTTTGAAGCTTCATCTCACTTTTGAAATTACAGTTTAACATAATTAGTACAAAAGCCTATCTGTGCAGTAAAACAAACAAACACCAGCTGTATGTATTTTGGATCCTGGATGTGTGGTTTGCAGTTTCATACTAGTATTGGGTGGGCTCCTAAAGTTGAAGACTAAAAGTTCTTCAAAAAGTTAGAAAATTGGCCCTGAAAACAGAACACATTTAGGCCACTTCAGAAACCATTTTTAAAGATTCGCTCTTGTGAAAAAAACCAAATGGAAACCAGCTCATCCAAAAACTTTTTTTTTCTTTTATAAAGAAAAGGTCTCATTTCCTCCAGTTGCACAACTGAAATGTCTGTGTGCATCAAATGGGTGTTTTAGTTATAGGATAGATTAGAATAGCATAGAGTAGTATAGAATAGAATAACAGAGTTGGAAGGGACCTTGGAGGTCTTCTAGTCCAACCTCCTGCCTAGGCAGGAAACCCTACACCACTTCAGACAAATGGTTATCCAACATCTACCGGTACTTAAAAACTTTTAGTGTTGGAGCATTCACAACTTCTAGAGGCAAGTTGTTCCACTGATTAATTGTTCTAATTGTCAGGAAATTTCTCCTTAGTTCTAAGTTG